CCTCCATCTAATAAGGAGGAGCCTGGGTAAGGACCAATGGGACAGGAGGTGGCCTTATCTCATCGAAGCCACTTCCAAATCACTTGAGGGCAGCCACGTGGCTCTAGAGTCTGAAGGCCTGGAGTTCAAGTCCTACCTCTGCCACCCGCCTGCTGTGTAACCTTAGACCCTTCACGTGCCTCTCTGGGTCTCAGTTTTCTCATCTGTAATATGAGGATAATAACAGAATCTACCTCGTAGGCTGTTGTGGAGATCAAATGGGTTAATATGCGGAAAGTACTCACAATTTCCAGGTCCCTCCTCCATCACCGCCACCCTCATCCTCTCCACCCTCATCTCCTGCTGTGACTGTTACAGCGGCCTTCCCACCCACCCACCTACCTATGTCTCCCTGCCCCGCCCCCCATGATCTGTGGCCCATATGGCAAAAGGAGCAATCCTTATAAATGAGAAGCGGGATGTGGGTGCCTGGGTGGCTTTGTCTGTTAAGTATACTCTTGATCTCGGCTCAGGTCACGGTCTCACGGTTCATGAGTTCGAATCCCGAGTCAGGCTCTTTGCTCCCAGGGCACAGCCTGCTTGGAATTCTCTCTCCCTCTGTCTCTGCCCTTGCCCAGCTTGTGTGCTTGCTCTCTCTCTCTCAAAATAAGTGAACTTTTAAAAATATTTTTTTTTTAAAAGAAAGAAACTCAAGGGGCGCCTGGGTGGCTCAGTCAGTTAAGTATCCGACTTCGGCTCAGGTCATGATCTCGCGGTTTGTGAGTTTGAGCCCCATGTCAAGCTCTATGCTTACAGCTCAGAGCCCAGAGCCTGCTTCGAATCCTGTATCTCCCTCTCTCTCTGCCCCTTCCCTGCTCATGCTCTTTCTCTCTCTCAAAAATAAACAAACATTTTTAAAAAATAAAAAGAAAGAGGGGCGCCTGGGTGGCTTAGTCGGTTAAGCGTCCGACTTTCGCTTAGGTCATGATCTCACGGTTCGTGGGTTCAAGACCCAAGTCGGGCTCTGTGCTGACTGCCAGCTCAGAGCCTGGAGCCTATTTCAGAGTCTGTATCTCCCTCTCTCTCTGACCCTCCCCTGCTCACTCTGTCTCTCTCTCTCCTAGAAATAAATAAAAATAAAAAATAAAAAAAAATAAAAAAAGAAAGAAAAAGAAAGAAAAAAACTCAACGTTGCTTCAAACCTTGCAAGGAGTCCCCGGTAGACACAGAACAAAGCCCACGCTCCTGGCCTCAGCCTGTCCGCCCCTGCTTATCTACCACAACTTTCCCGCCCCCGAGTTAAATGCCTACTTGGTCACGCTGGCCTCCGTGGTGGAACTTGACCATCCAAGCTCATTCGGATCTCAGGGCCTTTGTACTTCTCATACCCACTACCTGCTCTATTCTTTCCACCTCCTTTCTAGGCCTGGCTCACTCTTTCTCATCGGTCACGTGTCTCCTTCTCCAGAAAGCCCTCCCTGCCTCCCCGGGCTGGGCCAGGTGCTTCCCGGATCCCAGCCTTGACGCTTCTGCTGCTTGCTTGTGCTTCCCCAGCCCAGCCCTGACACTCCAGGCTGTCACTGTCTGGGGACGGGTCTGGCTCCTGCATATGCTGAAATTCACGCAGGCAGGGCCAAGGCCATGCTGGTCGCCAGCGGAACGGGCAGTCAGACACACAGAAAGAGTGTAACAAAGCTCTGTCCATCCCTTTCCACACTTCACCTCCTTCCTCCCTGCCCCGTTCCTGAAGAGGTTCAAGTTAGTGCAGGTTCCTTCCCCACCGTCAGCCCTGAGAGACACCTCCCAGGGGAGCTGGGTCAAAGCCGCGGTCACTGCCCGATGCCCTACAGGGCAAAAGCCTGGGTGTAGGGGTTCGGGGGCCCCAGCTAAGCCTGCCGAGTGAACCACCTTCCCAGCTGTTCCCAGCAGGCCCGGGGGGCCATAAAGCCACCATCTCATGGCTGACTAAAGTCGTTTCGGCAGGGCTATGAACTTGCCCTGAGCAGGACGTGGCGTGAAGGGAACCCGCAAGCTCGGCTGGAAAGCAGACGGTTACAATTGCTTAGGAGAGCAATGTGGAATCTGGCGGTTCCACGGTGAGCCCCATGCCAGAGAGAGAGACTCCGGCCACGATACGAAACACATTCTAGAATGTTCCAACTAGCACTGTCACCGTCCCACATGTCCACCAAGAGGTAAATAGGTAACTGCCGTGCGGCATGGTCACGGCAGAGGCCATGATCCCAGCGCAACACGCGTCCTCGCTGCGCGCTAGGCAGACTAATGCTCAGCAAAGAGCAGGCTGTTTACCGGAATACCACTCACCTGATCTGCGACACTGGACAGCAGCGGTCAGCCCCTGCCGGGCCGCCACAACCTCGCACGGATGCCAGCCCCACCCCCCACCCAGATCCCAGCACTCCAAGCCGGAATCTTTAGGCCGGCTGGGCGCCGGCGTGTTTGAAAGCTGTCCAGGAGACCGCAGCGTGCGGCCGGGACTGAGGACCGCTGCTGCATTGTTCCTGAGCGCTCTCAAAGGTAGTAAAAGTCGGAAGACCCGCAGAGAAAGGCTGAAGTGCAGGGGCAGGGAGGCTGGGGAGGGGGCGGGGCATTTAACTCCATCCGCACTGAGCGCTCCTGCCCGATGGTGGAGGCGGGGTGTTCCCTTATGCTGAAAGCTTACTTTCTTAGCTAGTCTAAAATCATCAGGAACAAGACTGGCATGTAAGAAATCCCTTGTCTAAGTTCCCACGGCCGGTGACAGGGCAGGGACCCGAACTCGGGTCCCCAGTGCCAAAGCCCTGTCCCTCCTTATCTGTGCCAAGCCCGGCATGCTGAGCAAGCTGGAGCCACGAGGGCAGGAGGCTGGGCTGACCTCATGGGACCGCCTGGCAGCGTGCCCTCCCGGTGACTCTGCCCAGAAGGGGGCGGGGCGGCTGGCTGAGAAAGCCTGGAGGCAGGTGGGGGTGGGGAGGTCCTCCCGAGGGAGACTGACACTAACACAGCACCTACTGTGGGCCGGGGCCTGGGCCAAGCGCTTTACACCCTGCACCGTCACGGCAATCCCACGAGGTGGCCACCATCACTATTTCCATTTTGCAGGCAAAGAAACTGAGGCTCAGAAAGTTCAGCAACTTGCCCAGAGTCCCAGCCTGGGAGCACAGGGCGCCCCGAATAGGCCCAGGGCAGGTCCCCTCCCCTCCCTGCTCCTCCGCCCCGCCCAGGCCAGGCACCCCAGGGGTACGGATGAAGCCATGTATCACTGGCTGGGGGTCTGCTCCCACGAAGGGATGCCGAGAGGGGGGAGGGCTTCCGTGTCTCTGTCCCGTCCCCCACCACGGGCCCCGCACGCAGCCATGTCCACCGGTCCACCGGCAAGAGCCGGGCAAACTCTGCCACCGGGCCGTGCTTCGGGTGGGGGTTCAGGGCAGGAACACGGGGGAGACTCCTGCCGTGGGGGGGGCCCACATTCTGGGGAGGAGGCAGGGAACAAGCCGTGCCCTGAAAACCCAAGTAAGAACAGAGCAGAGGGCTGGGGAGAAGACGAGAGAGTGAGATAAAGAGAGTGGGGGGCTGAGAGAGCTGGTGGAGTGACTGGAGAGGGGGGGGGGGGGGGGAGGGAAGGGATTCCAGGCAGAGGGAACAGGAAGGTCAAAGCCCCGGAGGAGGGCATGTGTCCAGAGCTGAAGAGCAGCAAACACAGGGGAGTGGGGTTGGCTCTTGAGGAGGGATGGGGAGGAAATGAGGTGGGGGCGCCTGGGGACTGGGGTTCTCAGTACAGAGAACACTCAACTTTGTATAGGGTCCCACTCAAGGACACCCTCCTCAGGCAGAAGCTCATCAGACTCCCTTGGACTCTGGGCCACCCACAAACACCCACACACAGGAACTTCTCTTCCCAGATCACGCCCTTCCAAGAAGCCCAGAGACAACCCATTCCAGTCCAGGGAGTGGCTCAGCTTTGCCCAGCTCCTGGCTTCCAGGAACGGACCTTCAACAATCTAGGAAGTAAGTGAGGACTAGGGGCAGGAGCTCTGGAATCGGTCAGACCCAGCACGGAATCGGCCAGTGTTACTCAGCAGAAGCTATCGGAGCCTCAGTTTTCCTGTCTGCAAAGTGGGTCTATCCGGTACCCACGTCACAAGACTGTGGGATAATGAAACAGCACCGAGTACAGCGTTAGCCGTTATTAAATGTTAGACAAAACTACGTTCGAGAGGCAGCAGAGCATAGCCCCGTTTCGCACCCAGAAATCCAGAGTTTGAATCCCAACCCCACAACTTATTCATTAGATGATCCTGGGCAAATCACTTGGTCTCTTAATAATAGTGCCAACCCTATAAGGTTGTAGGAAGGATTAAACATACGTAAAGCATCTAAACGATCTGGCACGTACTAATTTATGCTTGTTTGCTATCATTTTCATCATCTGCGGGAGGGGGCTCTCTTTTACTCCACCAGGACATCCCTGACCTCCCTCTGGAACATTCCTCGCGTCCTCTCCAGCAATGCACCCCGCTAGGGTTTTAACTTTTGACCCTCAGGTAACACCATCTGTCAGATTCTGACCTTAACTCCCCTTTGGCCACGCCCCACATTTGATCCCTTAAAAAGATGCCCCCCAATGTAAATCGCATGCATCTGCTCCGCGGGCTGCTGCCATAAACCTGCGAACCATCAACCCCCCATGGCTGTGATCTCTGACCCTGGTAGGCGCACCCTGCCTTCAAGTGATTAGGTTTGGACCCCATGTTTTGACACTCGCCTCGGCCCCCCCAGAACGCACCCCACTCTAAATTTCGAAATTTGCGCTCTCCTTCGCCACGCCCCCTTCGCTAGTCTGACCTCTGACCTGCCCTACACCACCCTCCCCAGAAGTATTGACCCCCAACCTCTCGGACGCGACCCTTCCCTCCTCGAGTGAACTTTGACCCCAGCGGCCCCGCCCCCTACTTGCGTAAACGATCTCCCACCGCCGTCGCCCGGCCCACCCCAACCCCTGGCCAGACCGCTTATCCTACCGGCTCGGCGCTGCAGTCGCTCGCGGCCGAGCTGCTCGACTCGGAATTCCGAACCCTCACACGGCCCTCAACTCTCTTACGCCGCCGCCACCGCGGCCACTGCCGCCGCCATGTTAAATCCCCAACGAACATCCGGGGCTTTCCCCCCTCGCCGCCCACCTGTCCCCATAGCAACGGGGCTGACCGGGCAGGGGGCAGGGCCCACTCAGGGGCGGAGCCGGGCCGCCGGCGGAGCCCGCTCCAGCCTCTGATTGGTGCAGATTGTCCAATCGGAGGCCTTCGGGCGGAAAATGCCAAGCCGGGATTGGAAAATTTGGAAAGGGTGCGGGGAAGCTGATTCCCCGCGGAATCGAGTTCTTAAAGGGGAAATGACTCTTCTCTTGTAACAGACCCACCTTAACCAAAAGGAGTTCTTGGATGGAAAGCGGTAATGCGTCATAATGGCCAGAAACAGCTATTACTCACTTGTTATGTGCCAGACACCCGACCAAATGCTTTACTTGCATCGTCTCGCTAAACGCTCATTAAAACCCCATTTTAGCGTTCATACCCAACTTACAGATAAAGAAACTGAGGCTCAAAATGGTGAACTAGCTGTCTCAGGATTACAGGAAGTAGATAATGAGTTTCGAACGACAGTCTGTCTGAGTTCAGGAACTTGACCTGGAATCAAGACACTATTTGATCTTACTCTTTTTAATAAGCTTTTAAAAAGTGAATACTTAGAAAGAAAGAGAAAGAAAGAAAGAAAGAAAGAAGAGAAAGAAAAGAAAAGAAAAGAAAAGAAAAGAAAAGAAAAGAAAAGAAAAGAAAAGAAAAAAGGAAAATACCAGAAAACAAACAACAAAATCCTTAAACTAAACCCAGACAACCTCTCCTGTGATTTCACTCACTGGCGCCACCTACCTGGCTCTTCCAGAAAAATAATCAGGTGCTCTCCCTCCTCGATGTCATTAACTTTGGCTGTTCCTTCTGTCCAGATTAGACTTTCCCCACGTACCCCAGGGCTCCCTCCCTTGCTTCCTTCAGGGATTTACACTAATATCACCCGTCAGTGGTCTTATTCCTTCCCACCCTAACTAAAGCAGCAAACAAGACTCTCTCATGCTACTAACTTTGCACTTTTTTTTCCCTTATTTTCCTGCTCTAATCGCTTCTAACAAACCAGATGATTAGTTAATTCTAGTTATTGTTTCTTGGTAGTTTACTGAAATGTCAGCCCGAGGAAGATTGCACGAGTCATTTTTTTTTTTCTGTATATTTACCTACTTCTTTTGTTTTAACAAAATCAGAGGCATACGTTTATATAGAATTTTACATGTTTTTAAAAACAAGAGCAGAAATATCACCGGTCTGTTTCCCTGTCATTTTCTTCAAAAGCATTCGTTTTAAGGGCTGCAGATGTCATCCTGTCAATGAACTCTGATTTGTTTAACCACGCATTCTTGTTGAACGTCTAAGCTGTGATAAATATTTTGCTATTATAAATAATACCCCTCCCCATTCAAGCAGTTAAATATTTGTGCACATCTCTAAATAATTCCTTTGAACGAATTCCCACAAAAGGAACTGCTGGGTCAGAGGAAATGTACAGCTTTAAGATTTAATAATAGTAACAGTTGCCATGCTTGGAGCTAAGCTGTGTAATTTTAACTACAGGGGCTATGATTATTCGTGCCTGTGCTTCCCAGAGGAAACCCAAGCCTAGAGAAGTAACTTTATTTGCTCCAAGTCGCACAAGCTAACGGGACAGAGCCAGGGCTCACCCCCAAGCTTTAACTCCCAGGCAAGACTCCCGCTAACTGCCCTCTGCTGCCCCCACACGGCCCGGAAAGGACATTGCCAAGTTGTGCTCCAAGGATCCAATTCACACTCCCAGCCGCGATCAGAGGGAGGAGCGTGCGCTTTCAAGTATCTTCGCCAGCATTAAACATTCTTGTTTTTGTGCTCTTTTGAAATCTGTACGGCTTACAGGGTCTCCGTTTTTTTTTTTTTTTTAATATTTTATTTTTTTCTAGGAGAGAGAGAGAGAGAGACAGTGTGAGCAGGGGAGGGTCAGAGAGAGAGGGAGTCACAGACTCCGAAACAGGCTCCAGGCTCCGAGCCGGCAGTCAGCACAGAGCCCGACGCGGGGCTCGAACCCACGAACCGCGAGATCATGACCTAAGCGAAAGTCAGACGCTCAACCGACTAAGCCACCCAGGCGCCCCCAGGGTCTCCGTTGTTTAAAAAGCAAGTCTGGTAGCGAAGATGACGGCACTTGATGCAGGTCGGAGTGATTGATGGGAGGAGGGCCGGGGTAGTCTTTCTCTTTAAGGCAGGGCATTAGCTCTAGAAGCCCCCTTGGAACTTAGCTAGGGGTCTCTGTCAGAGATCAGACCCCCGAAACAAGCCCGGGGGTAGATCTGCTCCAAGGGCTTCCTCAGGATGCCCTTCTTCAGGGTTCTGAGAGAGAAAATCAGCCTCCTACATAAGGCTTTCTGGAGGAGGTGATACCCCCGCTCCCATGGATCGAAACAGGTGAGGAGGATTTGGCTTCATACAAACGATAAATTTCAGTACATCAAGGGAAAAGATAAGTGGCAATAGATGGTAGGCAAAGCTTTCTGTCCTTCATATGTAAAGAGCATTTTCAAATCAGTAAGAAAGACAAACATACAGCATAAAAATAGGCAAAAGACATGAACAAAGATGTAAAATACAGACAATGAAGAAGAAAAAGATGGAACTGGCAAATAAGAAATTAATGAACTGGATATTAAACTCTTAAACAGATCCTTTTTTTTTTTTTATCTCTCAGAAAAAAAAATTGTATTATAATTAGTGCTGAGGAGAATTCAGGACAGCAACTACTCTCCTGCCCCAGATCACAGTCCTAGAAGTGGGGTAGGTACCCCACTTCTAGGACTGTGATCTGGGGCAGGCTTTCGGTACTATCCATCAAGAGACCTAATAATGCTGTCAACCCTTTGATACAACAATTCTTCTTAGAATTGTTCTTAAAGGGAAAAAAAGACATAGACAAAGATATATATGTGAATGTATAGGTGACCTTTGAACAACACAGATTTGAACTGCATCGGTCCACTAAAAAGCATATTAAAATTTTTTTTGTTTATTTATTTTGAGGGAGAGAGAGCGTGCGTGCACAAGCAGGGGAGGGGCAAAGAGAAGGAGACACAGAATCCCAAGCAGGCTCTGTGCTATCAGCGCAGAGCCAGGCTCCAACTCGAAAACCGTGAGATCATGACCTGAGCCGAGATCATGACCTGAGCCGAGATCAAGAGTCAGATGCTTAACTGACTGAGCCACCCAGGCGCCCCTAAGCAGAATTTTTTGAATAAATGCAATACAGTACTGTAAATGTATTTTCTCTTCTCTGTGCTTTTCTTTTCTTTTCTAAAAACATTTATTTATTCTTGAGAGAGAGAGAGATCAAGTGTGAGTGGAGGTGGGGAAAGGGCAGAGAATGAGGGAGACAGAGAATGCAAAGCAGGCTCAAGGCTCAGGGCTGTCAGCACAGAGCCCAACGCAGGGCTTGAACTCACGAACTGTGAAATCATGACCTGAGCCGAAGTCGGACACTTAGCTGAGCCACCCAGGTGCCCTCCTTTTTAACATTTTATTTTTAAGTAATCTCTACACCCAGTGGGGGGCTCAAACCCACAACCCCGATATCAAGAGTGGCATGCTCTGGGGTGCCTGGGTGGCTTAGTCGGTTAATCGTCCGACTTTTGCTTAGGCCATGATCTCGCGGTTCATGGGTTCGAGCCCCGTGTCGGGCTCTGTGCTGACTGCCAGCTCGGAGCCTGGAGCCTGTTTCAGAGTCTGTGACTCCCTCTCTCTCTGACCCTCCCCTGCTCACACTGTCTCTTTCTCTCTCCTAGAAATAAATTTTAAAAAAAAAATTAAAAAAAAAAAAGAGTGGCATGCTCCACTGACTGAGCCAGCCAGGTGCCCCTAATCACCATTGTTTTTTTAATTACTAACGAATCCTACCAAACTTCACAATTTCCCTAGTATTGCATATTCAGATTGCTTCCAATTTTTTGCTTCTTGCTACTCTCTAAACACTTTACCTGCATGATCTTATCCAATCCTTACCACTTCTCTATAAGATGAGATCCTTAGCTCCATTTAACAGATGAGGAAACTGAGGCATGGGAGGAGGGTGGGAGGTGGATCAAAGTCCCACCACTTGTAAGCCGCTTTGCTGGAATTTCAACCAGGAAGTCTGACTTCAAAGCCCGATGCTCAAATTCATTCAATAAATATAGTTGTTGAATGCCATCCATGTATTGGATAATTACAACCGCCAACATGTATTGAAGATTTTCTATTCCAGCAGCCCGGGCTAAGCACCTTACATATACGACCTCCTTTAATCCCTACAACCTCCCGAGGCCCTCCTGTTATTCCCGTTCTACAAAAGGGCAAACAGAGGAACAGAGAGGTTAAGTAACTTCTCCAAAGCCACACAGGCAGCCTGGCTTCAGGGTCTAGGCTTCCAACCGTTTCTCTTCATTATCAGAGAACAAATGCTTGAGAGACAAATAATAGACACCTGAACACGTCAACACTATAAAAAAGGTGACGAGCGGAGCTCAAAAGGTGTCACAAAATACAACCGGGCCGCCGTAAAAAGAATGTGGAAGACACAGGACCCAGTGATCCCACTCTGGGTATTTACTCCAGAGAAATGAAAACATACGGTCCCACGATGGCCTGTATGGGAAGATTCAGAGTGCTTGTTTTGGGGGTTTTGGTGGGTTTTTTTTTCTATTTTTTAAAATATTTTTATTTATTTCTAGGGGAGAGAGAGAGAGACAGCGTGAGCAGGGGAGAGGGTCAGAGAGAGAGAGAGTCACAGACTGAAACAGGCTCCAGGCTCTGAGCTGGCAGTCAGCACAGAGCCCGATGCGGAGCTCGAACCCACGAACCGCGAGATCATGGCCTAAGCGAAAGTCGGTCGCTTAACCGACTAAGCCACCCAGGCGCCCCAATGGTGGGTTTTTTTCCCCCACAGCGCTTGTTTCCATCATCGCCGGAAACTGTAAACAGCTCCAAACGTCCATCAACGAGTGAACAGATAAATCGGTCGCAGTATATCTATTCCGTGGACGCT